TCTCTCTTCTCCTCTCTCTCTCTCTTCTCTCTCTCTCTCTCTCTTCTCTCTCACCTCTCCCTCTCTCTCTCTCTCTCTCTCTCTCTCTCTCTCTCTCTCTCTCTCTCTCTCTCTCTCTCTCTCTCTCTCTCTCTCTCTCTCTCTGGGCGGGCTGGATCCGCAGCCACACTCTCCCGTGTCTGGGCGGGGCCGGTTGGCGTCAGTCACGCTCTGTAAACAGGCGCCGTCGCCGCCGCCGAGCCCCGGTCGGCCGCCGATAGCGGCGCTCGCTCCGGTGACCGGCGCCGCGGACGCCACTCACGCCGATGAGGGCCGTCGGTAACGGCGCGCGCGCCTGGCCGTCTGGAAGGGCCAGCCTCGTCCATCGCGGGTCGCGGTATGGCGCGTAGCCTGCTAATGACCCCGGTCGTCGGCAGCTCAATGTCAGGAGAGCACTTGGCGCCCGGGGGACGCAGAGGTATTGGTTCGCCAAGGGGCTCTGCACCGGACGTGCGGAGTCTCAACCCATGCCACTTAAATTCTCTCCTCTTTTTTCATAACACTCTACTGCTCGGCATCAGTTTTCAATCACGGGCCACTTGACAACCTGGTTTCAGAAACCCCTTTTGTGCGCCTGGCTGATGCCTGGCAAACGTCGCCATGTCTTCAATGATTTTTTGTTGGTGCTGCTAGGATATGTCATGTCAAATTTTCGAACGAACATTTTGGCAGATAAATTTCCGGAATCAGAGCTCACCCTAAGCAAAGGAATAGGTGATCCACTGCGAACATAACACGTATTGCATTATCATATTCCAGCTTGCCATTGCTATGTCCTGTATTCGAGAACGTACGATGTGATTGGTGATGATAGGAGACATTTCTGCCTTTGCTCAAATGAAATTAATATCGTTCCCCACTTTCTACCCTGTCAATAGATGTAAGCGGTCCGAGCATACCAACTCTCCGACCTCCACTGCCTTGGTCACTCTTCTATCTCGCCCGCCCCCCCCCCCCTTCTCTCTCTTCCCTCTTTCTCTCTCCCTCCCTCTCTCTCTCTCGCTCTCCACCCTCGCTTTCTTTTGATGGCGGTGGTCCGGTCCAGGCACAGCGTACCAGGGGCGTGACTGGTGAGCTCTTTTGAGTCCTGGTGGCAGACTGGTCAGAGGCGTAACCTTCCCGCTAAGGCCCATCAAGGGGGGGGGGCGGCTTGTGAGGCCAGGCCATCCATCACAGGTTGACCCGATCTATCAGCTGGGGTCCATCAGAGGAGTACCCGGCCTGTAAGGTCAGGCCATCCATTATAGTTGATCCTGCCTGCCAGCTACGGTCCATCAGAGGAGTACCCGGCCTGTAAGGTCGGGCCACCCATCATAGCTGACCCTGCCTGCCAGATGCGGTTCATCAAAGGAAGAACCGGTCTGTCATTCCATTTGTTTAGTTCCTAGCAGCGCCTGGAGCACGGGCGTGCGCAGGGTTTCACAGGGGAAGAAGGCACAACTCGCTAAAAAGGAGTTATGCTCATTGCAAACTAAGTTTCGTCAAAACCCTCGTTAAAGGAAGTGTCCCACATTTCTATGGGGATTTGAACAGAAATAACCATCTTAAATATCTTTTGGTGCATTTCACAGCCCCGCCCTTCTTAATGCCTAAACCCCTCTTGTTTCTGAGATACATGCCCGCGAAGATGGGGAGACGTTTTTGGAAAGTATCTCAAGGTCATCGTAGCATTCATGACGTCATAAGAACGCCATTCAAATCCTGCAATTTCATAAGCCATGAGATGACCAATGCCAAGAAACAAATAACGGTCGAGTCGTTCTTATCTGGCGTTCATGAGCACCATTTTCAAATATAGCGGCCGTCAATTGACCCTATCTCACCTAACCTCGGCACGATTTCCAGATATAACGGCCGTCGATTGGCTTTCAATCAATGTTGTACAAGGTAGGATGACGTAATCAAATAATGACGTATCGAGGAACGTATTTACTAAGGAAATATACAGCGTTTTCTAGAACAGTCTTTTCAAGGTTTCCCAAAAGTTACTGTTGAGTTTGTATAATCATGTCTGACGCTTGTTCTAATATCTTCAAATGTGAGACATTCCCTTTTGACGCACTGCAAATGCGCATACTTATTGCGTGTCGTGAAAGAGAACAGCATGTTCTCGATCTACTCATTTGTATGTGTATCACGAACTTTCAACCGATGACATGGAGCCACGCACATATCAATACATGCCATCAGTTTGGTGAGCAGGCCACGTGCCCCCGACAGGTATTATGTGCGTACACCCTAGGTCTAAAGAAGCACGCCTCCATCCAATGAGATGGTAGATGGTAGAAAAGGTAGCACTTGAACGCAACTGCGTGTAATCCAATAAAATTTATAATGTTTGTAACGAAAAGTGGAAAGTGAAACAGCGTATGGTAGTTGTAAGCCCTGCGGAACAAAAGGGCAATTGTTACCTGGCGCAATTGGTGTTCTCGCGCTTCATACCGTTTCACCGAAATCCATTTCGACTGTGACTGGCCTAGGATTGAGTTGATTCGGACTTTGAATTCCGAGCAGCGAGTACAACGTTGACTCCGACCACGACTGAAAGAGACATAGCGCAGACCCGAAACAAATTCCGGTGGAGTCGGTCTCAGTGACAACACCAATCTGTCTAGATAACAATCCACTCTGATGGTCACATAAGAGCCAACATAGGGCGTGTATTTTGGTAACGAGACAGCAAAAGGTGCTTGTCTAGAATTTTCCACTAACTTGATAGGCGGCTGTTTACGTTCTCAATCGACACAAAAAGCATAAACAGCACATCTTCGGAGTCGGCACAACCTCTAACGTCTACATTGGAGTCATCGTCGTAGAGCCAGGTAGTCTCCACCAGCCACGCGAGCATGACTGTCGGCTGCCTTCACGTGCTCCGCCAACCTCTGCCATTCCTCCAGGTCAACCTCTCGCAACGTCTGGGCTGCTCTTGCCCCGAGGATGGTCTTCCCGCCCTGGACTGAGCAGTCATCGTTAGTTACAATGGTCTAGAGGCACAAATTAGTCCCACCCGGATGTCCCGTCAGGTCGGCGGCACGTTGTCGCGGCTGGGATCTACTCACCGCGATGTCTCGATTATTGAGCATCGGCAGCTCTTCTCGAATGCATTTTCCGTAACGCGCCGCTGCCGAGTTCTTTCAGAAGATATCGCGTTCGTGCGTTGTGCCACACGTCCACGAACTTTTTCAGACATGATAGGCATAGCTTTTTTGTGGGTTTCCTCATTTCTTGTGCCCCCGAAGGTCATGCGGTTTCCACTAGCTCCTGCTTTCAATACAGCCGCTGCGACCATGACTCTCTCGTGAAGCTTTTCTTTCCGACGGTGACGGACTTCTGTCTGGCCTGGATTCCACTTCCACCCAACCTCCATTGCCACGTCCAGACAACGTTCAAAGAATCTATTTCGCTCTGACTCAGTGACAACCTGGCTGATTACGGAGCAGTTTCCCACTCCACCCAGTCAAACATGAGTCGGGCTGTGTTAATTGATTATTCCCTTCCTCTCAAGCTACCACTTTTGAGCTTCTTCTTGCACTCCAGCCGAGGTGCTTTACTCCCCGTCAGCAGGTCGATGAGGCAATTTTCTGGTCCTGCTCCGCTACACCGAACTGAGCTGTACTGAATTACACTGGGCGCTGGCCTGAGCAGTGCAGGGCAGCACTGTCTCTGTCTATCTCTCTGTGGCTGCCGGCTGACAATCTTGCCGACATTTCTGGGCTGGGCTGGGCCGGGCCGTGTTTTCTCTGGCAGCGGCTGTGACGCGGCGCAGACGAGCTGCGGCGATACAGCTGGACGATGCGGCCGACGACGTCCCGCCGCCGCGGCCTCGCGACGCTCAGAGCCCACAGATCGATCAGCTCTCAGCGCCGCTCCTCGCCAGAGTATTGGCTGTTCGGGCCTCTTTAGCGAGCACGCTCGGCTGGTTATGTCGCAACTGCATGGACACCGGTTCCTTTTACATTGGAGCGCTCTTGCTGCGTGTCCAAAAACCCTGTCAGCGGATGAAATGGTTCTCATAAATAACGTGTTCATTGCCACAGACAACCGATGGAACTGCAATTTTTTCGTAGATAAGCTATCACATCGCCAAATCATCCCATTTGTACGCAAACATTGACATCCTTTTCAGTACGATCGGTGCAGTGCCGGTCACCGGAAATATGTGGGAGCAGCCGCTTTGTCACATATAACTAAATACATGATACAGTGCGCTAGTTTTATCTTTCAAGGACCAGACTGGCCTCCCGCCGATAAGCTAGTTTTTAGCTAACCCTGTTCAGTATTTCTGATGATTGGGACTGAAAGGCGTGTCGACGGCCGCCAAGGTCGTTTTCGCTCATGGTAAAGGAAATCTTGTACTTATTAGCTAACCGCTCAACTTGGACAGGAAATAACGGACAGCGGTCACTTTAAGTCACAATAAATTTGAGCTGCATTGGTTCTTCGAATGTTTATCGAACATAAGTCTGTTAAACATACCGTACCCTTTGGAAGGCAGTACTACTTTGACAGTATCTGCGCGGGTATTGTTTGGTTCACCGTCTACCGGGGTCTCCAAACCCAGCATCAAATTTCTCCATATTTCTCCATATCTATGCATATATGGAGAAATAGTTCTGACGACGTTGCCCGGATGGGTTGCATTAATTATTCTAGAATGCGTGATTGCTTGAATATGCAGTTACTGTGTTGGCCTTGTTTGCGTGAGAATATTACATAGATGCATTATTGCACACATACAACCATTCCGTCTCTATGCGATTTCCAGTATGAATCAACATAACAACGCATGTAACGTGATTGCAGCGGCGTGATTATCAGCAATGGGAATAAGGCACTACAATAAATAAGGCGCAAAGTAGGCGCAGCAAGAAAACGCTGTTGGACATGACATATCTGCGTTAAGACTCTGTAATTCATAAGCTCCCGCAACTCTGCCACGTGTCCCGTTCTCTTGCCCTCAGGCGTGTCGCACGGTAACCCGTTCGCCAAGAGGCTGTATGACGACCTGCTTAGCAACTACAACCGACTGATACGGCCCGTGGGCAACAACACCGAGAAGCTCACCGTTTGGCTCAAGCTCAAGCTGTCGCAGCTCATCGATGTGGTGAGGCTTCAACCCGGGTGTGTGCGGTGCACCGTGGCGGCGGTCAAACTCGTATCTCGGCACAGCAAGACGCAATGAGGTGCAAACTCAGCTCACCAAACAGCGGGAGCACAACCTTATGGATTCTATGGTGTGGTGAAGTTCACTGAGACCCGTTTGCTCGATACACAACTCCTGGGTAAAAGAAAGCTCGCAGCTGAAGATAGCTCATCAATAAGGGCTATAAATAAGGTGCCTATTTTCGCTTTTCTTTGAGTCACAATTTACATCCTGCCAGCCTGTCCCGGCCCGATGATCAATATCGCTGCAACAGCGTTGACAGAGCACCAACTATTGGAACTAGCCCGCCTCCCGTGACGCCGCAGTATGGTCCCACGTAAAACGGGCCAACTGGCAATGCTTCATGAACATTGGATGGGCTATATTTTGATATATTGTCAGGCGTTTTAGTGAGTTTCTGGACGCTGCCAGTGCTCCAAATCATTCTGCGCGGCTCGTTTCGGCTTTAATTGGGATCATAGCCGTGACGTTTCCACTGTTTTTAAAAGGAACATGCTCATATTCCGGCATGAGCTTGTCCGCAAGTCCCTCCTTCACGACACCCTGTTGACTGTTGTCAAGGAAATTTCTCCGATGCTTACTGGCGCGGGATGGCTCAGTTCTGATGTCACGTTCTCATTTCCAGAATCTCAAGAGTCAGATCATGACTACAAACGTTTGGGTGGAACAGGTAAGCGTAAGGCTCATTGGATGCGACTTGTGACACACTAGGTGTGGGTAGTGGGTCCCCGAAATAGATTATCTGACAAGTGAAGATGTCGAAGCATACCGGAATCCTTGCCTGCCGGAGCACCACGGCTGCACAAGGCAAACATTACTACTGCCTGGCGGCCCGAATTCAGTAAGACTTGGCATCGCAGATGTCGGGGACAACGCCGCCGTTTGTGTAGCCCGTCACGATGTCGGGGACAAGACCGCCGTTTGTGTAGCCCGTCACGACGTCGGGGACATGACCGCCGTTTGTGTAGCCCGTCACGATGTCGGGGACATGACCGCCGTTTGTGTAGCCCGTCACGATGTCGGGGACATGACCGCCGTTTGCGTAGCCCGTCACGATTCCATGCCGACGTATCTAACGCAGTCACTGACTAGCGGTCTTTGAAATGCGAGTCACTGACGCCGTATTGCTGACTCCCAGTTCAGGAGGGGTCTCGCCCCATTCACCATCCCACACTCAGTTGCATGCCAGACACGAACGCGCGCGCCCGCGGAGGAGCGCGACAACTCTTTCTTTCCACAGCCGTGCCGATCTCAGCAGCCGGCCGCCAGCCCCGCTCCGTTCCGGGCCTCCGGGGCGGACCTGGGTAGCAGGCCGAGATCGTGCCACAGCGGCTCTCCGCATTGTCTCGACCTCTGGGGGGGGGGGGGGGGGGGGCAGCGGGAGCAGGTCGGCAGCGGGCACGGCCAGGTAACGGCCGTCAGCAAGCAGAGCGATGTCGCCGGCCCCCAACCCTGGGGAGGGGAGGGCGGAACACGGCCAGGTAACGGCCATCAGCAAGCAGAACGGTGTCGCCGGCCACCTACCCTGGGGAGGGGGAGGGCGGTACACGGCCAGGTAACGGCCGTCAGCAAGCAGAGAGATGTCGCCGGCCCGCTACCCTGGGGAGGGGAGGGCGGTACACGGCCAGGTAACGGCCGTCAGCAAGCAGAGCGGTGTCGCCGGCCCCCTACCCTGGGGAGGGGGAGGGCGGTACACGGCCAGGTAACGGCCGTCAGCAAGCAGAGAGATGTCGCCGGCCCGCTACCCTGGGGAAGGGAGGGCGGTACACGGCCAGGTAACGGCCGTCAGCAAGCAGAGCGGTGTCGCCGGCCCCATACCCTGGGAGGGGGGGGGGGGGACGGCGGTACAGGTGTGCGCTCACCTGTTTTAGCACGTGCGCTTAGACGGGACACGTCGCGTGAAAGCAGGAATCAAACATTGCGATCACGGAGGGGCGTCGGTGTGACACAGCAGAAACGAGGGCGTGTCTGACAGCTGCGAGATCAAGCAGCTCGCGCCTCCAACGCATAATTGACTTCTCCGATGACAGAGGTTAGATGGATCGCGGGCCACTCCTGCAGAGAGCTGGTCATCCTCACAAGACACGGATCAACGAATGATGCCGCGGACCAGCAGAAAGCAGACTTTTACGAAAAATTAAACGAGCCGACTGTTCGGTAGCGCAGCCTCACCTTTGCTAGTTTGCTCGCTTACCGGAGAACATTGAGGACAAAAAATGTCCACTAACTGTTTTCCGTAATGTTAAAGATACGCTCTCACGCTCAAATAACAGAAAAATCCGCTATAACTGACTGCCGCTTTAGCTGATATAGCCGCTATAGCCGCTATAACCGCTATAGCTGAGTATTCGGATTCGCGTTACTCCAATAGATCCGTACATATTTAAATCTTGTGAATCATAAAATTGCATCAGCGAATCATAAAAAGGAGATTCGGCTCACGTCGACGGAATCAAATCGCAGTAATCAAATGGAATTTGGAAAGCCATCATTTTAACATGGAACTAAACACATTCAGAATGGGCCACGAGGAGACGGTTCCGGGCTGGAGTTGACTGAATCCAAGTAGTGAAGCCGACATCGCATCGCACCTTCCCTCACTTCTCGTCAACTTCAGTTCTGCCAACTCACCGCAGTTGTGTGCTGCTTTGTCGGAACGGTCAGCTAAGACTGCCACGATAACGTGCCGAGCTCCGGTCTGTGCGGACAGAGCCCGCCTGTGGCCGTACCCAGGCCGCCCTGCAGCGGAACCCTCTCCGGTCTGTGCAGACAGAGCCCGCCTGTGGCCGTACCCGGGCCGCCCTGCAGCGGAACCCTCTGACGCGGCCGCGCCATGTCGACAGAAATGGATGGACTACAAGCTCCGGTGGAACCCAGAGGACTATGGCGGAGTGGACAAGCTGTACGTGCCCTCCGAGCACATCTGGCTGCCTGATATCGTGCTGTTTAACAAGTGAGGACCCTGCGCTGGCGGCGATATCGCGCGCGCATTCATTAGGGCTCTTGGCGTCTGGTTGAACAAAGCGAGGTCATCACATCAACAGCGACCCCCAAACATGGAACGCCGTCTGGTACCGCAAATTGCACTTCAGCTAGACACCCTCACTGGCAAATTGCTTTGATGCTGTGCTGTTGTTGCCTACATCGCAGCGGGTAATGAGAAAGCCGCAACGTTTAACTGGCGCCCGGCCGGGCGTTTGAGAGAACCGCGTCCGGCCAAGGGGAAGTTGACTTCCCTCCATCCCCTTACATTTCCAACTGCATGACGTCCTGCCAGAGAAGAAAGATAATGCTGTGAACATCTTGTCAAATCATGAAGAATCCACACAATTGTTCGACCTTGGGTCAACGCTGAGATTCACAGAGTCCACGAAAGGTGAAAAACTGCAGTTCTGATAGATTCAGTTAAAACATATGTTAACACATCAAGACGGATATTAAAGGCACAGAAGTAAGCGTTATGACTGTGGGTTGTCCTTCCGAACATTTGTGTTCTACTGCAAGGTCCATGTTAGGTCAGGCTGCCATTCGAAATTGGTCTGTCAGTAGTCTACAAAAACGATACGTTTTTGTCTTCTTTCACAATGTGCTTCTGACTAAGCTTATTTCATTAGGTGCAGCTGTGGGAAAAAAGTATCCCGGACACAAAAATAACAAATTGGGCTGACTTACAGGTCAGCTTGAGTCAATTCAGGGCAAATTTATAAAAAATCCAACTAAAAACTTTTGATGTACCAACCGGTCGTAGGTGACTATTATAACGTTTTTCCGTGGTCAGAGATCGCGTGTTATACATTTGCAGGTAGTCAAAATGGTATAGCTATTGTATGCATTATATAAGGTCTCTTTGATGCTTGGTCTCAGTTTTATTTATATTTATATATAGCGGTCACACTCATATTTATGACCTACTGAGAACAGGCACTTAAGTACGTGCAATGGTACGCCATCAGCGTCACAAACACAATGCAAAGGTGCTTACAAGCATCACACTCATTCACCTAGCCCGCCGCTAGTGACATTAGAGGCCATTGAAATTGAATGAACTCATATGAGCATGCAAGCCCTCACATGGCCTATCGTGCTCTCATTATGTATTACAATGACACCACAAAATGCTCCCAGTGAAGCATTTGAATTATGCGCCTAAAATTGCCTAAAAACTGGCTATTTTGACCTCCGCATGTGTTGTGTAAAAGGCATGCATTGAGGTAAACCTAACCTGGGCCAAGGTCATGCGCTCTGTGGTAATACGGTGGTTGCACGCGTGAGCTAGTATTCTTTTCCTTGCAAAAATCCACAAAACTGCAAACAATGCCTAAAAACTTGCATAATTTATCAGAAAACAACACAAATTGACCTCTCATCAGCCCACTCACCTTGCCCGTTTCAAAAAGCTTGAAAGATCCAAAGTGTGCATTTTCTTATGTTCGATTGCTGTAGTCAGTTTGATAATGGAAAATAACCCACAAAAAAGTAACGCGAGGTTGATTTTTTTGGGAATGACATCTTTAACCTGACCTTGGTCCCGGACTTTAGTAGATCAAAACTCGAATTGGCACAAAATATATGAAATTGATACATGAAAAGATATTAAAAAATGTGGTGTTGCTGCGTTCGTACGTTATTGACCTGTGTTCTAAAACGCTGAAGCGAAGTCGCCTTCCCCAAGGTTGGGCACGTGCTATTTTTTCTTCCTCTTGCTCCATTACAAGTGCATTGATGCCGTGTTGTGATGTTAGCGGCCTATTCTTACTAAACTACTTACCTACTACTCTTGCTCAACCAGCAGCTACACTTTGTTGGTTGCAGTGGGGGCATCAGGACATGCTTATTGCTTTACTTGCCTGTGGTATGTGACCTTTGTGGTGTGTAGGAGTAGAAATATATGAGCTATTCTGTATGATGGTTTCAGCTGTCAGACGCCCACTAATCAGTTGTAGGCAAATAGGCTGTAAATAGCAGTTAAAGAAAATGTTCCACATTTGAAGGTAATGAAGCAAGTACCAGGTGTGATGAAAGAAGTTCACTTATAACAGTGGGTACACTTTTAAGTAGAAAAGACTGTTTTCGACAACACGATCTATCTGGTCGGTAAATATGCTGCTCGATAAGTCATTATTTCGTTACGTCATTGCACCTGGAACGGCATTGATTGAAAGCCAGTTGACGGCCGTTGTATCTGTAAATCGTACTCATGAACACCAGATACGAACGACTCAACTATTTCATATTACTTGGCTTTGACCACCACATGGTTTATGGAACGGCACGATCCGAATGACGTCCTCATGACGTCATGAATGTCAAGGGGACCTTGAAATACTCTCCCCGAAATAGTTTCCACATCTTCGCGGGCGTAAAGCTAAGTAGCTAGAGTCGTTTAGGCTTTAAGAAAGGCAGGACTGTGAACTGCAGCGAATGATCTTCAACATGGCTATTTTGATTAAAAACCCCATAAACATGCGGAACACTTCCTTTAAACTTTGTTTTGGTTGCATTGGTGGTTTCAAAGCATGCTGAATGTTTTCCATTGACTATGCCGTAAAACGTTTAATAAATGTGGAAACAAAAATGTGTTAGCCGTTCTGTGTGACTTGCGTAACTTCGTGGTTGAGAACCTATGAGTCATGGCCCAGTAACAACCAGTATTTAAGGTACAGTGTTTTCCAAAGAGCCAATGAAATCCAGAACCGTGGATTACTATAGACCAGAGGGAACCAGGATCTGGGGCTTAGCCTTTTGGAAGAATCAGTGGAACCAGGATTCAGGATTTTGTTTTGTCGAAGCAAGTGGCGGGAATCAGGAACCAGCACTGGCAACCATACCTATGTCTGAGTTAGGGATTGATTTAACCCCTCCCCCGAAGGTTATTCCAGAATAAGTTCGAATTACACAGCGTAGCCACACCAAACTTTGCAGACCTGTTAGCAATTGAATAGCGGATCTTTGGGCATAAAAATAGACAGAACTCGCATGGTCGCGAATCGAGAGCAGGTCAAAGTCAGGCCAGGGCTGTTAGCAAAAGCAATTCCAAGGGAATCGTTCATTCTGATCCCCGACCTTGAAGTATTGTGCAAAGTCATGTTACTTGAAGCGGTTCCTCAGACAAGTAGCAAATTTTTCGGTTCTATTATTGGCAGACGCAACAACGGGCTCCTGCCTCGAATTTTCTCCCATTCGTACTATGCCGGAAATTACTTATTATGCCGGGACTTACTTATATGCCGGAAATTACTTATTATGCTGGGACCTACTTATTATGCCGGAAATTACTTATTATACCAGGACTTACTTATTATGCCCGCAAATTACTTATTATGCCGGAAATTACTTATTATGCCGGGACTTACTTATTATGCCGGACTTGCTTGTTATACCGGAAATTCCCGATCGCCAGTGTAACAGGAGGCATTGATTTTTGATTTATGAACGTTATTCTGTGTCTTAAATATAGTGCGAAAATAGGAATCGTTCCTAGCGGTGCTCATGGTCGCCGCTTGACGGGAGGGCGACGCGGGGTCATGAACATTGCTGGAAACATCGATAATTTTCATAACATATTTGAATAATAGCTCGACTTTTTCGTTTGACTAATTCCTCCAGGAATAGTAGAGGTCAGCTATTTCTAGCATGATAAATAATGAAGGTTGTGTATTTTCTAGATCCATGATATATGCAACTTTTTGACCTTAAAAAACAAGGAACACCGAAAAATGCTCCGTTAGGCTATCGTCAATATTATTGATGTTACGCTGGCGTTATGCGCTGGTACAGCGTATTGGTTCTGCTTCGTGCCCACGTCAAAGCCAAAAAATGCAGACATCAAAGTGCAAAAAGCAAGCGGGTGTTGAATCAAAAGAGCATACAACCATCATCCACGCATACAGCGAAATTGTTTTAGTCTGTGCAATCCGCTCAAGAACATAAGGCTGTAAGTTGCTAAATGTATTTGCGAGGAACATTTTGCACATATATAAGACAAAAACAATAGCTAAGACAATAGTAAAAGCCCCATTTGTCGTAGAAAAGAACAGCAGAATACAGATATAGATGCCTTGATATTTTGGCAACGCATCGATACCCGCATTCTGTCGTTTTCTTTCTGCCAGGAAAAAGGCTACTACTACTGCCTTATCGGTGGACATAAAGCTATGTTAGTCGGCGGAGAATATCTACCAGGACAGCGGACAGACCCACGCGTTTCACCCATGGGTGGCTAGTATGCCGTGGCAAGTATCGCTCGTGCATCACCTACTCTCACGGGGGTGAGCAGCACAGACATTTTATACCTTTGCCACTCAAGGATGCTCTGTACAGCGGCCTTGTCACACCGAGTACAACAAACATATCTGCTAACATGTTTGTGTGCAAATTCAAGCTAACATGTTTGCTAACCATTCGGTGTGCGTGGCGTCTCTTGCCACACAATTCGCCCAGAGCTGAATCCTTCAGCAGTGCCACAGTATGCAGGGCCGCGTGCCAACCGTGGGTCAGCACAACGTGCCAACTACGGATCAACACACTCCTGTTCATGCAGTGCGGACGGCAACTACGAGGTGACACTGATGACCAAGGCGACGCTTCGGTACGACGGTCTGGTGGTCTGGAAGCCGCCGGCCATCTACAAGTCCTCCTGCGAGATCGACGTCGAGTGGTTTCCCTTCGACGAGCAGAGCTGCGTCATGAAGTTCGGCAGCTGGACCTACGACGGCTTCCAGGTGAGTGGCCACGTCTGCGTCCTCGTGGAGCGGTGACAGGCCCACGACAACGCCGTTGATATTGTTCGATCTGGGCATGACATTCTCGGCACACACTGGCGACGTTATGCGACGATGTATCGTTAGCTCTTTGGCCGCAGTCAGAGCTCAGGCATAGCCCATCGCAGTCTGCTGTGGTCACGCTGGTAAACGGCCCTGCAATACCGCTGATACGGTAGTGTATCACTGTTAATGCAGCGAGCAACAGTACGCAACTAGGCCAGCTGCAAGAGCTTCTAAACCTCGTAGTCAGAGTTATTTTTGGACGATAGAAGCGCGACGACATAAATGATGCCCTGTCAGAACTTCAGTGACTTCAGTAATGCATATAAAGTGGTACCACGGCCTCACTCAACCAAAGAGATTTCGATGAACCCAGAACCTGGGTAAATCGCTCGCGACTTTATTAACAGGCATGACACTCACCACCGCAACACAAGGCATTCCGATTGGTCAGCGACTACTCCCATACCATCCTAGAATCGAATACGAATGTATCACATGCGTTCGAGCGGGAAGACCCCCGTAAGGCTTTCCAAAATAGCCTGGAATCGATGCAGTGCAGCCGCGTCACACTTTGCATAGCTGTAAGCAACTGAATACACTATCTTTGCATAGCTGTAAGCAACTGAATACACTATCTTTTCGCATACAACATAAGACATCCCTAGTATTTTTGCTGACGCATGGCAGGTCAAACTCAGCCCATGGGTGTCGGCGAGGAAAATTACTAGGAAACCCGCTTCACAAGTCCAGATCAAGATCAAATTGGCAGGTCAAGGTCAAAATAAAAAAATATCTTACTGCTAGAAAAATTTCCTTATTAGGTAGCTTTTGACGCTTACTTCGAATTCCTTGCATCACAGCGATGACAAAATATATGTTTTCATTTCTACGTTGAGGTCAGAGTGGTGGTGGCGGTGGGAGGGGGGGGGGGGGGCGCTGGCCTTAAATGACCTCGATCACCCTTTTGCTTTGAGGAGCATGACGCATATGATAGCACTTGACGTCGTTTGTATATCCAAATATCCAAATAATCCCAGAGGGTGTTAATTTTTACTTTCTAGTGGTCAGATAAAGTTACTGGGTTCATGTGGACATCAGGGACATTTTGCTTTTGACTGGTTTCTAGATTAAGCTTGGTTGCGTAAATAACTCTGAGAGCACCTGGATAATGGTCTCGAGCTTGACTTTGTTTGGCCTTGTCTTATCCAAAGTTTTATAGGACCTCAAAATGTGACGCAAGTTTGTTCACATAAAGCCCCACCGATCCTTTGAATTTGATGTCCCTAACTCGCTTAGAGTTAGAGACCTCAAGAGGCAAACTGACCCTCCCCCACCGCACCTGAGCGCGGCGCGGTGAGCCGACCACTCGGGCGTGTGTTAGTGTTCCGTCGTGATTGCCTTCAATGACCTGCCGCTAGCCCTCCGTGCACTGGGTCCATCACGCTTTAAGACCGAGGTGCAAAACTACATGGCGAGGAGCCAGCTAGGCACTGACTTGGCGACGGAATCGTTCACTTATGTTGTCCCACGTGTGACTGAGTATCTGCACTGAATTGTTCGAAAGTGTTAGCATCTGAGCACACTGTTTATTAGTTATATTCTTAATAGTCAAACTCATATGAACCAATACAAATCCAAACGCCGTTTGTTCTGGGCTTATTATTCACCGCGATTAACATCATGGTTAGTTATGACCAAAATAGAGAAGATCGATGTAAATATGCTGTTGCTGCATAAATGCATTCATTGACCTCACAGTACGATGAATACGCAAGCTGCGGGACGGAAAGAGATTACATTAAGCAGACTGCAGACGCGCTTGCTTTTTGTTGCCCTCCAAACGTGCCGAAAAAAGGATTTAGGCCACTGCGCCACTCCACACATGCCGCAGATGACGTCACTAGTCTGCACAGGTGACACGATTTTTCTACTCCGACCACCGGGTTTGACCGGGTTTCTTCCCACGCGTGTGTTGATCAAAGAACACGGGCATCGCGTCTTCTGCAATTGTTCCCACAGGGGGAGATCTGTTGCCTTCTTCACCCCGCATTTGCCTGAATAATTGACTTCACGAAACATCACGCCGAAAACCTCGGCAGGTTACTGCAAGGAAACCAAAAGCTTCCTGGTTTGGGGGAATTATCAGGTCTCGGCGCCCCGCCCGATCATCTTAACGATGCTCCAATTGTCGCTGCCTTTCCAATAACCCCAAACTCCAGGACTCTAATGGCCAACTGACGGAAAAATTAGGTGTCATCTTATGTGGTCACTTCTAATCGCTTTCGATAATGCAATATTTGGCATCCAGAGCTATGGTCCTCGTTATCAGTATAGATATCCGAGATAGAATGAGTAAAACGCGCCTAAACTGATCAAGTGACACACGTTTGGCAGCGCTGCTAACCGCGTCATCTCACAGGCTTTGCGTGGTCCCACATGTTCAACCGCTCGTGTGTGTGAAAAGGGATGAGGTTGTAAACATTTCATCCTGCTGGGTGACATCCCACTTGCCACGTGATCACCAAAGGCACGTTATGATCTCTAATATCTTTTGTCCCCGCCCCTTCACAACGCGTTCACCGAGTGAGTGCGGTTTGCCCCAGGTGGACCTGAAACACATGGAACAAAAGGCAGGGAGCAACATAGTGGATGTCGGCATTGACCTCAAGGAGTACTACATGAGCGTCGAGTGGGACATCCTGGAGATACCAGCTAAGCGGAACGAAGAGCTCTATGTCCAGATTCCATATCCAGGTATGGCCTTTGTCGAATCGGGGAGCACTTGTGATAAAGTATCCGGCAATAGACCCTGTTAGAAAGAGAGATAAAGCGAATAATTATTCTCCTGGTGCAACCTCTCTTAGGATGGGAAGAACCTATGGGCAGTAATTACCTTGGTAGCGTAGCGTCTCTAGAACGGTCGCCTTCCTTCTTCTTCAGGCCTTATGCTAACGTGGGCTAGCAACGAAGCGATAAAGCTCCCTTACAAGAAGATTTTCTGCCCGTTTTTTCACTGGCACATTGTTAAACGGTTCTGGCGCCTAATGGCTGACAGCTCTTTCAAATTGGTCAGTCTTAAGTGCATCAGCGGATGGCGTGCACGGACAGTTTTGGAAAGAGGAGTGTCATTGTCATCGAACACTTGGCATTTCGACGATATCATGAAACAAATGCATTAATGGGAATGTTGCACAGTTGAAGATATTGAAGCAAGCATTGTGTATGATGAATTAAGCTTACTTTTAACAGCTGACATACTTTTACGGAGGAAAAGACTGCTCTTGACTACACGATTTCTCTATTTAGTAAATATGTTCCTCAATACGTCATCGTTTGGTTGCTTCATGGAACGTTTGTATGGCAGCCCTCATTTTTAGTCCATTGATCTCCCGAGAGATGGCAGCACGGACTGGAAGTGTTCACTAGGCCAAACATGGCAGTGTGCTTGCTTTATGGCCCCTTCTCATGATATTATTGCGTATTTATCCGTGATTTTAAGATGATCGCTTGTATTCACATGGCAGATTATAGTGCTATTCTAAAGTTATTCTATTGGAAATCTTAGTTTCGTAATTGCTTGTATTCGCATCCTAGATTTTACCGCTATTCTTGAGTTATTATGTTACAAACCTTATTTTCGTAATAACTAGAAAGAAGGTAAAACTTTTTTATTGAGTAACACGAAACGCAAATCATGCTAGAAATCCGATCCGCTTATCCCCTTTTTGCTTAATCCTGTATCCTCCTAACGCCCGCTTGTCCGGGGCAGGCTGCATAAGTCAGTCACAAGTGGGACGAGAGGTCGCTGGGGAGTGGTACCCCGACGAGGCGCCCAGCGCACACTCCGGAGGGTCCCTGCGCGGGCTGATGCTCGGCGGTGGGCCTCTCAGGCGCATGCTATCCTGCCTCACCGTTATCCATTCTCCTCCATCCTATAGCCCTGAAATGATCATTTCTAGTCGAAGGAGCTCTAATCCAAACAACCAACCATGTTAGAGTCTGGCTTAGCTTGCATAAAACTGGTCGGGAGTCAATTGACTGCCGTTGTACTTGCTTACGCGCTCGAAATCGTGCTCACGAACACCGAATATAAAAGACTCGTTAACTTCTTCTTTCTTGATCCAGAACGCAGCCTGGCCAGCAGAATGACAGGATTTGAATGACGCTGTTATGACATCATGGATACCTGGGCAACCTTAAAATAGCCGGCACGAAATGATCAGCACATCTTCTTGTGCATGAAGCTCAACAACTAGAGGGTCTCAGGCTTAAAGACGAGCACTGACTCTGAGCTGCACATAACTTCTCTAAGATGGCTATTTCAGTTCAAAACCCCCTAGAGATACGGAATATTCCCTTGAATGGATAACCGAAACCCCTGGGCAGCCGTCTGTGTGCCTCCCCTGTACGTCCACGTAGTTATCTATGCCGTGATCTTACGGAGGCGCACACGTCTGGGAAGGGATCACAGACGGCGCGCAGGATCGCAGAGCTCCACTGAAGGCGCTCATAGGTAACTGTCCGATGGAAGTTTAAATCCTAAACACGGGTGAGTGTGCCCTTGGTTTTACAGCACTTTAGGATCCTGTCTACCTGATCCATAACTTAACTCATATTTGGCAAAGTGCTTGGTCAGCGAGGTCCCTAACAGGTCGCCAGGTTCTCATGAACAAACCTTGATTACTTGGTCTTAGCCTGGTACCAGCACTGCATGATGGGTGTAAAATGTAACATGACATATATGGCAATAGAGACGTCAGCTTCATTTCGAATACCATTTCTTTGCAGTTGCACAGTGGAAAATATCCTTTGTGTGCTAGTTGCAGGTTTAACTTTTTTCTTAGGACCTATTTCCATTGCTGCGCGGCACCATGACTGTTTGATGGTTTTTAACAGCTGTGGCACTGCACCCCGCTGAGTGTGGGCCATGCTTTATCTTCGATGATGCAGCTTCGAACCTTCGTCGAAGGTTGCCTACCGCCAGACGAACATGATCATCTAAATCCCGCGGTCTGCTTTCTTCAGACATCACCTTCAACCTGACGATGCGGCGGAAGACACTGTTCTACACCGTCAACCTCATCATACCCTGCGTCGGCATTTCCTTTCTGACCATCCTCGTGTTCTACCTGCCGTCCGACTCGGGTGAGAAAGTCACGCTCTGCATCTCGATCCTGCTCTCCCTCACTGTGTTCTTCCTGCTGCTGGCCGAGATTATCCCTCCCACCTCCCTGGCCGTCCCCTTGCTCGGCAAGTACCTGCTCTTCACCATGATCCTGGTCACGCTGTCCATCTGCGTCACCGTCGGCGTCCTGAACGTCCACTTCAGGTGAGCCGGCGGCATCACCTGCCCCGTTGCATGAGCCGTGGGAGGAGCACGGACGAGCAGCCTTCGTGGTGCGGCAATAAGGGTGCACGCCTTTCATGTTGACTGTTAGCTGCTGATGCTGCGCTCACGGGCGACGTCTGAACAAACCCAAAACATGTGTGGAAAGCTAACCAAGTAGAATGTTCGCAGAATGGTATTAGCTGAATAGTATTAGCCTTGTTCCTTCGAGAAAACCAGGAGAATGGAGATATAGTTGGGTTGATATTTCGGCAACATGCCTTCATCGAAACAATAGCAGAAGTTCAATTGCTTATCCTGTTATCAGTGTTGTCAGCAGCAATATGTTCATTATGCTGCATTGAGTGTACCACATTTGCGACAGATTCCACGTGGTTCTTTTTCTCCCGAGATATCAGCCAACTATATTTACATTCTCCTGGTATTCCTTGAGGAATAAGGTGTAGGAAAACGTAGCGCGCACCCCCCCCCCCCCCCTGGCTCGTCCAAAAACCGACTGGCGCCTGTGAGCGTAGGGTCCCTGCTGCCGCCTCAGCGGCCGACCCTTGACCCCCGGCGAATCGGGAGACCCGTGGTCACGTGACACCTCCCGGCACCCAGTCAGATGTAGAGCTCGGAAGACAGCGAGAGCGAGGACGCACACCCCGCACAATCACACCACATAAGGCTGATACTGCTGTCTAAACCAAGCATCGGATATGAAGAAGCAAGCTCACTTACATCAGTCGGTATACTCTTCAGTAAGAAAGACCGCTCTAAGACATGAAGAGATAAAGATATCCGGCCAACAAAGAGCCACAAGGGATCATCGAGGTTGGCCTACCTCAGGTTGCGCACACATCCTCAAAACTAATCACCTGACCTACATAAATGTAGCTACGAGTGACATCTTTAGAGAGATAAAACTTATCCAAACGGTTTTTGAATGTTGCTAGAAATGGACTTTCTACAACTTCGTGTCAGCCCATTCCAATGGTTCATTACTCCTTGCCTAAATGACATCTGCCTCTTCATGGCTCTACTCCTGCGTTTTGCTAAAGGAAGCTGGTTTCCTCTATGTCTTGGCCTAATTTCCGGTGCTCCATGTAGATCTACCCTGTCTATCCCCTTCATAATCTTGTGTATCTCGATCAGGTCCCTCTAAGTATGCGACATTTCAGTAAATACAGCTCCAAGACCTTAATCCTATCGTTATATTCTACGCTGCCAACCCTATCTATCACCCCATTTGCTTTTCGCTGTACCCCTTCCAGTCTATCTATATATTTTTGGAAGCATGTGACCAAGTCTGTACACTCTAGACAACATGATTTTTCCGTTTAGTAAGCGTGCTGCTCAACATGAGCTTATGAGAGTCGAGTTGCTGAAATAACTTTCGAGTCGTCCTGGAAAATCCACCGAAAGTTCAGTACCGATTGCGTACGATATTGAATACATTTGGATTTTCAACGTCAGATCAGCTCATTAAGCTGTGACATTATCAATGAAATTTGGCACGGTGATGTTTGCCTCGACATACAGGAGTTCACGGTTCCTTTAATGCATTGATTGTTTTGATGTAATTATTCACTGTTTTCACTGTTGGTCAATCATGGTCAGTCGTAATGTACGAGGTCATCAAAGGCGCAGCCCAGGGATGGGGCTCTTTGCGCTAAAGCCTCGTCAGGTCCGAGCGCAGTTTTTCACCACGGCGCTGCTGAATATCACTCCGGAATCTGGTGATCCGGATTTTGCTTTAAATATCATAGGCTCGACCATGGACAGCAGCATGTAGAGCCCAGCAGTCGTAATTTGTTAACAGGACTAGCTGATAGCCGAGTGAATATGCGAGGTAGGCAACTGAAACAACTGTTTCAGGCACCGGAGCAAACCAATATTAATAGCTCATTGAAAGCCGCCGCAAATTCTGGCTGCTCCCGTGGAGGCAACATCATATTCACCAAAACAGGCCACGTATCAGCAAGCTACAGGTGTGCAGCCCAGATGATTTGTGACGCACATTTTGGGTAAATCTAAGTCGGTAAAACGTGCACAGTTTATATCCAACTAATGTCATGTGAATCGGATAGACCAAAACTAATAACCAATGAGGGGCAGATTGGCCAGGAGTGACCCTGAGTTAAACTGATTTTGACCCTTTTTGTTAATATTATGACTTCATATGACGCATAAAAACACACTGTTTCTTTTGTGCCAGATTCGAAGGCATACAGCTGTTTTTACATGTGCTGCACGGCCCTGAATTCGTCCAAGTATTTTAATGATTTTGAAGGAACATTGCACGACCTGTGGCGTCATCAGCCACGTGACGCATATCACCTTACAACTGGGGGGGGGGGGGGGGGGGAGATTAAAAGTGCGGACCACCATCTGAATTTCCCAACTCGAACAAAAATGCTGGGGCACAAATGGTTAAGGTAGTTCCCTCAGGGTGGTCGCACTTAGATGTCCCAGGCAGCGCTGGGTTAAACGTGACATAATGCTTGCATTTTATGTTATCCTTATTTCACCAAAGTTTCCTTTACTCTGGAACACAGCTAATCACTTTACTCGAAATGTGGTTCTTTCCCTTGTTCAGAATATAGTGTCAGCTCAAATTTCGCCCCTAAAGGTTGGAAGACATCTGTCAAAAAAAATTAAGAAAAACGATGAGCTCTCGCCATGAAAGAGAGGAGGTCGATGCGACCCCCCGAGGGTTTTTGAGGATATCTCTTTATCGATCGCGCCAAAATTTCCATTAGCCTGAAGGAAAGTCCTTGCTTCTGTTTAAGACGTCAAAAGCTTGTCTCCAGCTGCTCTGATTTCTAGGCTATAGCGGGTTTTTAGGAACACTGTACGGCGATCCACAGTCGTGGCGGGCAGCGCCCGGCAACCAACGGATTTGCCGATCGCGCGCGGCGGGCCGACACTATCACATCGACGGGAGCCTTCATCATAAGTATATACTCAAAACACAAAATAACATGTTTGAAAGCTCAGAATTAAACAAGGAGCACGACTATGTAACTTTGATGCGGCCGTGTGACGTGGTTCCGCACGTTTTGACTATGAAGCTGGAAAGTGCGATTTCCAGGAAAAATTGACTTTTGACCTCGCATAATGGGGTCCAATTATTGACCTGGCAACATAACACTAAAGAAACAGTAGCCGATGGTGGCATCGTACCCCTTCCCCCAGATATCAGTGTGCGTTGTAAAGACGGACGACGGAAGGTGAGGGAAAGTGCTGATGTCTATCAAGTCTTGAAGACACACAAATTCCCCATCTTTCAAAGATCTTACGCGATTTGCTGTTAATAGATAGCACTGCTTCTATTACTGAATCTCATTGTCTGTTCGGGGTGATTTCGCAAGTAATTGATGACCCGATGAGGCTCGGCGATTTCAGATACTGGTTTAAACTTAATGGATATATAGTACCAATTTTGTGTCCTAGTAAACCGGGCGTAGCTGGGATTAGCTTCGACGATCATTTGTCACCAGCAGACCATCTCTCTCCGAAAGCCGCCCGCGGCGCACCATACATCACTCTGCACGCCGCCAGGACTACGGCGACCCAGAGCCGCGGGCAAATTGCAGCGCACCGCCGCACCGCGCAGGTTGTGTGCCGGCCCTCGGCTCGCCGATCAGCTGTCTGCCGGTCGCCTGGCAACGGTCGGGGCGTGACAAGCGGCCGGTGACCGCAGCAGCGGGGCGGACAGGGGTCCCAGGTGCCGCCCCTCCGTGTCGACCGACGCGCTGCGCTCAGTCCCCGCGTCGTCGTCCCGCGCCGCGTCGGTAATAAAGGCAGGCGTAATTGTCGCCGCGCTGGCAGCTGCCGCCGCCGGCGCGGCCAGAGCGGCGGCTGCCGGAGGTCCGTCGGGCCCACTCGGCGGCCGGTCCCGGCAGCTGCCAGCCGCTGAATTAGACAGATGGGGGGCCGATCGGCGCCGCCGGCCGCCGGCGGGGCGGGACCGCTGGCGCCGCTCGCGACGAGCTCCAGCGCTGACATCGGCGCACCGGAGATGGACGACCCGCTTCACCGTCGGCTTGCTCAAGTGGTTCGTAGAGCTCGGCGCATTTATATATGTATATATATATATATATATATATATATATATATATATATATATATATATATATATACATATATATATATCCCTCTCTCACACACGCTGTTTTGCAATGTGTCAGTCGATCGGTGAGTGGAGCTACGTATCGTTTGGAGAGGGCTGCTATGCCACAAAGTTTAAGCTGCCCCAATAGCGTGAGAGTTCGATGCTAAGAGCAATGGGGAGGGGCAGGAGACATTCTGAGCCCAATCCTTCCGAAGTACGGCTTTTGGCCCCGCAATACTTTTCACGACGTCCGTGAGTTGCGGTCACATTTTATCACATCCACGTCATTTTGAATAGCGTATGCACCCAAAAGGAGCGCCGGATAGACCTTCCCATGTAGATCAGATGCATGGGGAGGTAATTATGTTGTACAAGGTAAAGACAGGTGGTATGATACCAGAGTGCTCTAGAATCCGAGGCCGAGTAAAAGGCCTTTTCAGGAGTATGTTTCTTGCCCATTACATGCTCCCGCACCCGACCATATTTTTGCAGCATCTGATTGCAGAACAACAAAGATGAAAGTTTCAATAACCGAAATGAATGAATAGCAACTGAGCAATACCAATATGTCTTGTTTCTTATCTTCATACCATGGTTAGCGGAATACAAAGGCGGAGGGTGCAAAAAGGGATATTCGCTGCCCTTAATCAGACTTCCTTCCGTGCGCTGTGTAGCGCCATCTACCGAGACACGGGCGAGCCTGTAAGTTGGGAGAGCCATCTATGGGCCAGCAGTATAACTGGTGCCATGCTGCTGATGGTCTCGCAGCGATGACATACCCGCCAGAATGCGGTGAGCTGCTCAGTCCGGGCGATCCCAAGCCAACATGTTTTTAAGAAGGACTATGTTTCCTATTCAGTTGGAAGTGGGATGGGGTGGGGCCTTC